TCGCCATTACATAGTGTTGTCGTACGTATGTATATACTTTGACAACGGATGTAATTGACAAATTATAAACAGTTTGGTGACAATTTGGTACCAGGCGTATATATTTCTTTTTCCCTCTGTGTAGACTAGTAAATATCTAGTCCATAGACTAGGAAATAGAATTTCAATTTACCATACCTGAGCCGAGAATATCTTTATGCGTAACGGTATGTGTGTAAATTGTGGCATAAAAATAAACCATTTTAAGTGATTTATAACTTTATTCGTTTAAGTTTCTTTCATTTTTACGCTTTTATTTTCGCTGATGCTATTAAATTTCCTTCAGTTGAGCTTTTAAGATGATGTGGTAATTTATTTACGTCAAGAGTTTATTGAACTTTTTCTCAATACATGCCATTTATATTGGCAGTAGGCAGTTTGTTAGTAATGTAAATATTTGTAGCAGAAAATTTGTTTATAGCCAAGTTGTAAAAAAGGCTTATTTTATGTATTTATAGGAGTCAATTTTATGATCATTTCTTTGGCAAGTAATAATGTTGTAGACAGATACTTTTTACGTTAGGCGATAAAGCAATAAAATAAAATCAAATTAAAAAAGTGGCAGGAGTATTGATTGAGCGATATTTTTAATATCTCTTACAGCCATACTTGCTATTTGAACTCATAGAATTTTGGATGAAGATATTATTGAAAAGAACCCTTTTGTGGTTAATTGCAAACTGTAGTTTGTTAACTGGATTTATAGGGACATAGCGTTGGTTGGAATCCTATGATTATCAACAGCTTTCATAGCCTCAAATAATACTATTTATTTTATATCAATTTTATAGAAAAAATTATTTTCATATACTTATTTTTAAATATACTTAATAAACCATAAAAAAGTGGTTTATATTAAAATTGTAAATATTGTTTATTCATTTATTATAGTGATTTTAATGTTCATATAAATCAATTATTATTGTATAAGAGTGTAATATTTTAAACATTTAACAACTAAATGGTATATAGTGAATAAATAAAGTGTAAAATTATAATTTATATTTTAATTTTTTTTATAATAAATATTTAATAAACATTATAAATAATTGCTGATAAACAAAGGCAACAAATACAACACTAAAATAACATTTAAAGCACTTAAATTATTCAACTAAAAATTTTTAATTGAAATGAACTGAAAAACATCAAACAACCACAAAACACTACAACAACTACACAAACATTTAGCTATACAACTACAAGTACAAAGTTGCACACACCAATGCATACATACATACATACATGCATTTTAGTCAATTTATAAATTACAAATATTATTGTACTATTTAAAATGTCATAAAAGTTGTTGTGGGGATTTAAAAACATTTAAAAAAAAGAATCATACAGATTGTAATCATAGAACAAAAAAATACAAAAAAATAATAATTATTTTTAACATATTGTTTAAAAGAATACATACAGAGATACAATACTATATATGCATTATACGATTACAAAAAAAAAGATACAGATGCAGTTAGAAAACATACAACATACTCAAACACGTAGAGGAATACGAATACGTATAAGTATTGTAATGTGAAAAAGTCCTTGGTGTCATTTGTGGTTTAATACAATGCAGGCCAACAAAATACAAAACAATAAAAACAATTTGAGAGGAAAAAAATTCTTCATTATAACCCAGCAAGATTTTTTAGATGTTTTTCAGATTTTCGTGCAAAGTGTTTAAATAAGAATATTACTTCTTGATAAGTATACCGATCTTTCAGAAATGATCTACGGACCTTGTATGAGGGATATGGTTAACTATTGTCGATTTATAGGGAGTATGGGCCGATCATTATCAAATTTGATAGAAAGATTTTTATTCCTAAAACAACTTCTCTATGTCAAGTTTTCTTTCTATACTGCTATTATTAAGCCAGTTATGAACGTTGATATAATTGTTAGAATGGAACCTTATATCAAAGTTAGGGTCAATTATGATCCGACATCTATTATACAATAGAATATAATTTATAGTTGCATAAAAGTTGTGTAAAATTGTATCACGATTGCTGTATTTAAATTCTTATGACCCTTAAAGCTGTATTCCGGGAGGCTACTTGTATGGGAGCTTGGTGGAATAGTGAATCGATATTGCACAATATTTGTGCAAGGTTTCAGCACTCTAGCTCCTCCCGTATGATCCCTATCGAGATTTTAACAGAGGGGTGGACGGACGAGCAGACGAACAAGGCTAGATCGTCTTAATAAGGGTCCAGAATATATATACTTTTGTGGGCCTAAGACCAATATTTCTATGCAGCGATATACCTTCCATCTTTTTGATGGGGGATATAAAAATAATTAATACGTTGTTTGAGTGAAATGGGCGGGGTCAGAAAGTGGGCGTATTAAAAATTTAAGTGATAGTATCAAAGCTTGAATTATTATTTATTGTTATTTAATTAATTTAGTAAATATAATAGTGGGAGTGGCATCTCCTATTAAAACAAATACTTTTATTGGCCGGAATGAAAATTATGGGCATGGTATCTTCTATAAAAATAAATAGTTAGTTATTATTGAATATTTTAAAATGTTTAACTATTCAACAGAGATTTTTTCTAAACAATATTCTACTCTTTTGAGTTCATCTTCAGTAATTGAAATAAAAATGGGCGAAATCTATAGTTTATTTTATTGTCATGTTATTAAATATTGTATTGCATATTGTATTATAAGAATTAGTGGGCGTGGCTCTAACATTAAACAAAAGCGGGCATGAATGGGTGGCTATTTTAGAGGTTTCAAAAGTTAAAATTTGAAAATAGTAAAAATGCGGTTGAATCCCGAAAGTTTCTTTCCATGAAACATTAAAATATTTTTAACAATGTCAATGTCAAAGTTTGAAAATTTTAAAATTTTTAAAATTAATTTTATTCATTTCGAATCAGTTAGATTCGGTAAAGGTTTCCAGTGATGATCTGGCCAGATCACCTTAGATATTTGGATTCGGTGTCATTTCAGCTGGTAGGTTTCACAATGATCTCTTAAGCTTTAGGCTATCGGAATGATTTCATTTATCATCTCAAATAATTATTTTAAAGCAATCAAGAGTCTCTTCCAACATGCATTTCAGCTGTTTGCAAACGTTTTGAAGTTATAGCTTGAATAGCTCTCAATGATTTTACAAGCATATTCACCATAAGCTTCTTTTGAGCAATCGGTGTTTCACTATTTTTTAATTAAAGAATGAACATGAAACGAGAGCTTTTTGAAAAATATACCATAATGGGCGTGTGCATAACAAACCCCCCTTTTCTATGGTGTGGATCTAACTCTTATTGCGAACATATCTTTACTTCTAAAATTAGACTTTTTTCGTGCCAGAATGTACTAAATGACATGCACTGACTGAGTTAGTGATGCTTTATGACCCCTTTAAGACTTTGCAAAGAACAAGGAGGTGTCAATTTCTCTACATGTTTAATGTCGGTGCATGTTCAAGTACTTTAATCCATGTGTTATCTAACATATGACCATCGCTGACTCATTATCCGGCAATCTTCAGATAACATCTGAAGCATTTTACAATCCACACCAACATCAATAACACAATAAAGGAACAATCAGTGTTATGACATCTGAAAATATCTGGTAACAAGGTCTTGAGAATGGGTGAACTATGGTCATATCTCTAGGCGTAGTAATACCAACTTTATTGATTCCGAAGTTGAATAATGTTCCTATGACTAAATAATGGAATAGATGCTCAGCAATAAGAAGTCCGTGGTTCAAGCACTGGTTGGTACCACCCAGCCGTTAGATAAAGAGTCAAAGCATCCGAAAAACTGTGATTTCTACTATATTCTAACCACCTGGTTGGTTTCGCCACGGATATACACTTTGTAAACGATGGTGAAGATAATCGTCACTTTAGTGTCCCCTTTGTAAGCGTGAGAGTGGACACTTCAAAAAAACAAAGTTAAGCTTTTAGTCTGCCTCTTCGTAATATATGGTGTGACGTTTGACTTGCTCGTAGGTCAAGCACATGTTAAAATAGTTAGTCACATGGCTAGGGGTAACTCTAAGTGGTAGTTCGGGACTGTCCGACCGAACTTCTTGACAATTATTTCTTTATAACAATGATTTATATTTTTACCCAGATAGAATTATACAAGATTTGAATCGCGGTGATATCTGAGGTCTTCAGAAAATTTATTTCAACAGATAGATAGATAGACAGACAGACAGACAGACAGACAGACAGACAGACAGACAGACAGACAGACAGACAGACAGACAGACAGACAGACAGACAGGCAGACATACAGACAGACAGACGGACGGACATTGCTTTAACGAATCCAAGGATCCACAATATATATGTACAACGTCGGAACACTTTCATACTGATAGGGATGCTAACGGGGCATTGCTCAGTTAAGGCCTTTGTCAGCAAGTGGGACAGAAATATACGGGTCTATTGCAGGTTATGCGAAGATGAGGAGGAAATTGAGTCGATAGTATTTTGCGATCCAAACAATTTTTCTACAAGTAATGGCAACTTATCTATTCAGTTCGAAGATATACTATTTTCTATTCAATATATGCATTGGAATGAAAAGAAGAGAATGTTAGATCGATAAAGAAATCATGTTAAAAGCCTTGCGCCAAAAAATGTCGCTGGGTTATTTGCAAAAAAACCAACACAACCAGGAAACAAAGAAAAATATGAAAATGTTTCGAGCATAACAAAATCGTTGTTCTGTAGTTTAGTCTAACAAAAAAAAAAAAAAAAAAAAAAAACTAAAAGCATTTGTATGTTATTTAAATAATTTAATTGTTAGTTGTTCAAATAATACAAGAAACAAAAAATAAACACAACAACCACTGAGGAATTTCCAAGGATAATTAGTTATTTCGAATTATATATTAAAAAACAAAATCGTAAACAAGAAAAAATTTGGAAAAAGTTTTTTTTAGGAGAAAAAAAAAACAATTGTGACAACCTTGTTGTTAGCACTGAATCTAGGGTATCTCTACTTCCGCTTTCCGCTGACATCGATTTGCTAAAAAATATCCTAGCCAAACTGTCTAACCTGGCGCTAACCAATGGTGATTTCTCCGAATGTTCAGATTGATCTGAATTATCTTGTTCTGAGCTTGCCGAACGATTGCTGTAAATGAAAATTAGTTTTTGTTTGTTTGTTTGTGTTTTGAAATTATTTGCAATAAAAAAAGAAGATAAAGAAAAAAAGTAGAAGAGAAGAATTTTATTTTTTTGAAAATTATAGTAAGTAAAAAATAAAAAGCAAATTATGATTTATATAATGAAAAATAAAGCCTTGTTGAAAGTGCTTTTTGAGTGTTAAATAAACTTAAAATATAAGAAACTGCCAATTTGTTTCTGTTTTTTTTAATTAAGAAAAAGAATATTGCTTGTTGTATTTTGTTGTTAATTTTTTTTACAAAATTTACAAAAGTTTTATTTTAGAATTTTTTTAATATTTTTTATATATTGTTGTATGTATATATTTTAGAGTTATTTTTAAATATTTGTTTGTTTTATTGGCAGTTGACTTACCTACTGTAGATATGTCTTCGATTTGCTGCTGTTAATGCTGATACATCAAATTCTATCGCTGAATTGGAACGTTTCAATCCATTTTGTTTTTGCAATTTTTTCATTAAATGTTTGGCTTTTCTTTAATATCGAACGTTGGGTTGGTTAAATTTTAGATATTTTTTTTTGTATTAAAGTTAAACGATCGAAATTATAATTATGTTAAATTTATTAGTTTATGAAGAGTATGTTAAAGTATTTGTAAATTTGCTCAATTATTTAGAATAAACAGTGGTGAGTTTTTCTATGGGGATTTTAAGTGAAGATTCTGTTCCAGTTTCCTTTTGAATGATAAGAATAAATTTATTTAAATTCTCTATTACATCAGTTCTTCGAGATATCACATCCGGCGATGACTGAAATGTTCCTTTTCACAAGAAAGACACACATTTTAATCCTTGACCCGATATTAAAATAGATATACCACATAGATGATATGATTAACAAGGCATATACATAGGAGCTGGGCGCTATGGAGGAGAACCATAGTCACGAAAATGGGCCTAAGTCATACTATGACACATTGGCTTTATAAAAGCCTGATTATATCAATTTTCTAACTTATGATTTAATAATCTGGTGGACTTCTTTGGACAAAAAGTGCACTATCAAACCAATACAGGGAGTTCAGAGTACATGCTGCTTGGGCTTAAGTAGTATCATGAGCACTACGTAAACCAAGGCTTTGAAAACTTTGCTAGATATTTAATCAATTGAAATATATATAAGATATGATGCAGCCGAACGGCTTAGCTTTAAGAGAACTGACCAAAGGTATTTATAAAATACGTCATCAATGTATACTGGACAGATTGGAAGGCTATATTTAAAGATTGGACGTGCACAGTCGGACATACCAGTCACATACCAGTGTCGAGAACTTTGAAACACCGATCCCAGAAAGAATGTTATGGTCACTCCTACTTAATTAGAACATGGTACCAACCAACATATTTACCGGCAGCCAGAAAGCAATTAGGGCGATATCAAACATTGATCCCAGATAGAATGTTATGGTCAATCCTACCTAATCAGAACATGGCACCAACCAACATATTTACCGACAGCCAGAAGGCAATTAGGGCGATATCAAATGATAAGGTTAAGTCTAAAACTGTATTGGATTGTAAAATAGCTTTATACACTTGGGAGTAGTCGGCAACAAAAGTGTCAATTTACTTGCTTTAAAGGTAAGGAAGCTTGAGGTAGGAAACTTGAGGAACGCAAAACCATTCGACGAAAAGAGGACCGAATGAAAAATATGAAATAATGAAACGGTGGATAGAACCACAAAGAATATATAGGCTGACTCTGACGAGAAGCCTCCTCATAATAAGCAAGTCTGAGTGAGCACAGATTACGGGCATAATTATACAAAATTGGACTTGCGGATCCAGACGAATTTAGAGCACTGAAACTCAGGAGCAATTGCTTGGCCATTGTCTGGCTTTCTTCGAAATTAAATCCAAATATCTTTGGAGTGATATTATTCGGGGTATAACATCCCTCACAAACTTCGATTTTAGGGATTACGACCAGGAAATTGAGTTTTGAACACCGGACGGTAATACCTTCATTGATCACTATATAAGCACAGCAGGCTCGATAGCGGTCTAGGTGTATTTCTAAGGATTTAATGTATTTAAACATTCTTCTATCAACTTAGTTTCAGTAGGTATGGTTGCTCTGAATTTGTATGGTTCATATTCTACTGCATGAATAAAATTTCACCTATAGGAGAACATTTTGGTGATGTTAATTGACGATTAGCTTTCCATTAATGAGGCTCCAAAATGTTAAAAGTATCAAGGAGTTTATGTACTCCAACTCTGTATCAACTCCAAAATCTTCAGAAACTTGTATCTCAAAGGGAAAATCAGAGAGGCTGATTAATAAGTTTGAAGAAACAATAATATATTGCTGTGTTTCAATAAGAGGAACTATGCCATAATTCAAGAACCAGGTCACACTTTTCCAAACGAAGTAGATATACTTAGTAAGAAGTTGAATGGTGTTACACATTGAATATACGATTATATTACTCATTAAAGTATGAGGGTGGGAGAGAGAGAGACCTCATTAAGTGGATACTGTGGATATTTTGTGAATGTTCTCTATGGGATAATCAAAATATAATTTCACAAAGAAACTTTTCCAATAGCCGTTATAATTCCTAGAATAACTAAATGGACAACAGCAGCTCCAGCTCTCGTAAGCGCCTGATGAAGTAACCTGACCAACTTTGATGTCAAACATGTGTACGTAGATGATTACTCGGACTGTGCTGATCTATAAGTTCCTGCTGTGATTAACAGCATGACCCATTCTTAATATTATGGTTGAGGTCTCAGCTTGAATGAGCCTAGGCCATGTGTACCTCTCTTTTCTAAGTAGGGATAAAAATGGCACCTTAACACCTCGTTTTACTTTGAAATATCTGTATAATCGACGAGAGAATCAATCTCAATTAATGATACTACATTCTTTGTCCCTACATTAAATGTTTTCCCAGGGCGCAATGTTTCATTTGAAGGCGCAAAAATGAAAATAAAATTAGTTGATGCTTTCCAGAAAACTGCCGAATGTAGGGTCCATTGCCTGACAATAAGGTCGTCAGGCACCCAATGTAACAAAAGAGCATGGAACTGCGCATTATCAGACAATGAAGTTAAGAGTGTACAAAGGTTTTCAATAAAATTAAGAGGAACATATAGTCGAGAAGTTGTTACGATGGGTCTAATTCAAACTCTCTACGACTTCGAAAAATCTGGGGGTTTTATACTTCCAACAATTTGGAAAAAAATGCGACATTAGAAAGTTTTCTTTTATCTTTTATGAGCATTAAATCTCAAGGTGCTTTCAAATTCAACGAAATAAGTAATAATGTGAGACATAGAGGCCTCCGGTGAAGTAATATTTCTGATAATTGGGCGATAAACGGTTTTTCAGGGCAATTTGGGAAATTCGAATAATACACAGACAAAACTGCTTAGTTCGGATCAATTCAATCATTTTTATATTGAAAATACCATTGATGTCATTAGGTAACACATGTGTCTACTAATTCGGTTCTTCCAAATGAAGCGGTTCTTCCCAAAACACACCACTGTTTTCATTGAATTTCAGAAAATTTAAATAAATTTAATAAAAACAACTCTTCCTCCGTTATTAAATCTATTCAGAACGTTTGATTATTTCAACTCACTTTTCCGACACCGGCGGTCGTACAAACTGATCGTGTCCCGTACACGCATTGGCCCTGGCATCGGCCCTCGTCTGCTGTGATGCTTTATTGAATTTAAACATGTTGAAATTCTTCTTAACACTGGCCACCTCACAAACGCGTACAATGATTTTGCGGCTGCTCTTGAAGACCGTGTTCAATGTTTTATACACCAAAATCGAAACGGATTTTGAATGATTGTGGACATTGGGGGAAGCACCAACATTGCCATGTAATGGTGTGGGCAATGATTGTTGTTGTTTTAGTTGATGGAAAGCGTGATGATGCTGAAAGTCTTGTATAACTTTTGATGATTGTGATCGAGTGATAATTTTTTGATTATTTTGTTGCTGCAGTTGCTGTTGTTTGTTTGGTTGTGATTGGAACTGGTGCTGCTGATGGTTTTGATGATTATTTGATTGTTTTTGTTGGGATAAAGCCGATGTTGCGGTATTTGTTGTGCTAATTGCAGAAGATTTTGTTGTTGCTGTAGATTGTGAACGTTTTTGATAAAGATGTTGTTGTTGCTGTTGCGGCTGTTGTTGAGAATGTTGATTTTGTTGTTGCTGCTGATGTATTGCTGCTGGTTGATGATTATGCTGCTGCTGTTGCTGACGACAGCTGATAATAACTTCCTCAGTGCAGACTGGCTGCAGTGGAGGTATCTCACTTGTAATATCCTGTAATTTTTTTTCATTTTGGATTTTTTTTGCATTTTTTGTTTTTCATTGAATTTTTGGTGATTTTCAAGTGGTTTTAAAGTGGTGATGGTGTTTTTATGATTTTTTATCACAGTGTGTTTTTTTGTAGTTGGTGGTGGAAGTATTTGATTTTTTAGATAAATGTGGGTTGCAGTTGTTTAACACAAAATGTATTTTATTTTTTTTTACAAAAAAGAAACAAAGAAGAAAGAAAAAACAGAAGACAGACAAATATTTTAAAAATATGGACGCATTTACTTAAACATAGAAATAATAATAAAAATCAATGTAAGTATTCTTAAAAATTAAGGCAATTTAAATTTAAAGCAGTTTAGTTTATTTAAAGTTTTTTTACGTTTGTTTTAAAAGACGGGGTGTTTTTATAAACTATTCATGGTCTCTAAAATGTATTTTTTTCAAGCTGCAGTTAGTTCATTTGTTAACAACAATATTTAAAAGCCATGATATAGAATGTCTTTTTATTTCTGAGGGGTGCAAATGATTTTAGTGATTTTTAATGATTTTCCATGCCCAACAGCTAAGTTTTGATAGCGTTAATTATGCATACTCGCTGATAGTTTCCAAATCATAAAAATACTGACAATCCAGAAAACGCCAAAGACCCCAAAGAGCGGCTGAAACCACATAACCATCAGCACTGTATTTAGTCCGTAGTTAACTATGGCATAAAAGATAAAGAATTGGTTCAGATTTCTTTCGACTACTTCATCCCTCTTAAGGTGTTATCAAATTTGGACTTAATCTGCTACTGCTAATTTTGTCCACCGAGATATATTGAGTCATCGAAACTGCCTATGGATTGTATTCAGTAATCCTGGCCTGTACAAAGTACTATATTTTGTTCAGAAAAGATATCAGAGTCTATCATTTATCCAAATACAGCTCTTGCCACCAATCATCATATTATAATCAGCGTTTCTATCTTATAATTGAATGATATTACGCTCTAGTTCAGATTTAGTTCAGTTCTAGTTCAGTTATAGTTCAGTTCTAGTTCAGTTCTTGTTCAGTTCTAGTTCAGTTCTTGTTCAGTTCTAGTTCAGTTCTAGTTCAGTTCTAGTTCAGTTCTAGTTCAGTTCTAGTTCAGTTCTAGTTCAGTTCTAGTTCAGTTCTAGTTCAGTTCTAGTTCAGTTCTAGTTCAGTTCTAGTTCAGTTCTAGTTCAGTTCTAGTTCAGTTCTAGTTCAGTTCTAGTTCAGTTCTAGTTCAGTTCTAGTTCAGTTCTAGTTCAGTTCTAGTTCAGTTCTAGTTCAGTTCTAGTTCAGTTCTAGTTCAGTTCTAGTTCAGTTCTAGTTCAGTTCTAGTTCAGTTCTAGTTCAGTTCTAGTTCAGTTCTAGTTCAGTTCTAGTTCAGTTCTAGTTCAGTTCTAGTTCAGCTCTAGTTCAGTTCTAGTTCAGTTCTAGTTCAGTTCTAGTTCAGTTTTAGTTCAGTTTAGTTCAGTTCTAGTTCAGTTCTAGTTCAGTTCTAGTTCAGTTCTAGTTCTAGTTCAGTTCTAGTTCAGTTCTAGTTCAGTTCTAGTTCAGTTCTAGTTCAGTTCTAGTTTAGTTCTAGTTCAGTTCTAGTTTAGTTCTAGTTCAGTTATAGTTCAGTTCAAGTTCAGTTCTAGTTCAGTTCTAGTTCAGTTCTAGTTCAGTTCTAGTTCAGTTCTAGTTCAGTTCTAGTTCAGTTCTAGTTCAGTTCTAGTTCAGTTCTAGTTCAGTTCTAGTTCAGTTCTAGTTCAGTTCTAGTTCAGTTCTAGTTCAGTTCTAGTTCAGTTCGAGTTCAGTTCTAGTTCAGTTCTAGTTCAGTTCTAGTTCAGTTCTAGTTCAGTTCTAGTTCAGTTCTAGTTCAGTTCTAGTTCAGTTCTAGTTCAGTTCTAGTTCAGTTCTAGTTCAGTTCTAGTTCAGTTCTAGTTCAGTTCTAGTTCAGTTCTAGTTCAGTTCTAGTTCAGTTCTAGTTCAGTTCTAGATCAGTTCTAGTTCAGTTCTAGTTCAATTCTAGTTCAGTTCTAGTTCAGTTCTAGTTCAGTTCTAGTTCAGTTCTAGTTCAGTTCTAGTTCAGTTCTTGTTCAGTTCTAGTTCAGTTCTAGTTCAGTTCCAGTTCAGTTCAGTTCTAGTTCAGTTCTAGTTTCAGTTCTAGTTCAGTTCTAGTTCAGTTCTAGTTCAGTTCTAGTCAGTTCTAGTTCAGTAGTTCAGTTCTAGTTCAGTTCTAGTTCAGTTCTAGTTCAGTTCTAGTTCAGTTCTAGTTCAGTTCTAGTTCAGTTCTAGTTCAGTTCTAGTTCAGTTCTAGTTCAGTTCTAGTTCAGTTCTAGTTCAGTTCTAGTTCAGTTCTAGTTCAGTTCTAGTTCAGTTCTAGTTCAGTTCTAGTTCAGTTCTAGTTCAGTTCTAGTTCAGTTCTAGTTCAGTTCTAGTTCAGTTCTAGTTCAGTTCTAGTTCAGTTCTAGTTCAGTTCTAGTTCAGTTCTAGTTCAGTTCTAGTCAGTTCTAGTTCAGTTCTAGTTCAGTTCTAGTTCAGTTCAGTTCAGTTCTAGTCAGTTCTAGTTCAGTCTAGTTCAGTTCTAGTCAGTTCTAGTTCAGTTCTAGTTCAGTTCTAGTTCAGTTCTAGTCAGTTCTAGTTCAGTTCTAGTTCAGTTCTAGTTCAGTTCTAGGTCAGTTCTAGTTCAGTTCTAGTTCAGTTCTAGTTCAGTTCTAGTTCAGTTTCTAGTTCAGTTCTAGTTCAGTTTCTAGTTCAGTTCTAGTTTCACTGTCCTAGTTCAGTTCCTAGTTCAGTTCTAGTTCAGTTCTAGTTCAGTTCTAGGGCAGTTCCTAGGTCAGTTTCCTAGTTCCAGTTCTAGTTCAGTTCTAGTTCAGTTCTAGTTTCAGTTCTAGTCAGTGTCTAGTTTCAGTTACTAGTTCAGTTCTAGTTCAGTTCTAGTTCAGTTCTAGTTCAGTTCTAGTCATCTAGTTCTAGTTCTAGTCAGTTCTAGTTCAGTTCTAGTTTCAGTTTCTATTCAGTTCTAGTTCATCGTTCTAAGTCAGTTCTAGTTTCAGTCAGTTCAGTAGTTCAGTTCTAGTTCAGTCTAGTTCATGTTCTAGTTCAGTTCTAGTTCAGTTCTAGTTCAGTTCTAGTTCGTTAGTTCAGTTCTAGTTCAGTTCTAGTTCAGTTCTAGTTTCAGTTCTAGTTCAGTTCTAGTTCAGTTCTAGTTCAGTTCTAGTTCAGTTCTAGTTCAGTTCTAGTTCAGTTCTAGTTCAGTCTAGTTCAGTTCTAGTTCAGTTCTAGTTCAGTTCTAGTTCAGTTCTAGTTCAGTTCAGTTCTAGTTCAGTTCTAGTTCAGTTCTAGTTCAGTCTAGTTCAGTTCTAGTTCAGTTCTAGTTCAGTTCTAGTTCAGTTCTAGTTCAGTTCTAGTTTCAGTTCTAGTTCAGTTCTAGTTCAGTTCTAGTCAGTTCTAGTTCAGTTCTAGTTCAGTTCTAGTCAGTTCTAGTTTCCTAGTTCAGTTCTAGTTCAGTTCTAGTTCAGTTCTAGTTCAGTTCTAGTTCAGTTCTAGTTCAGTTCTAGTTCAGTTCTAGTTCAGTTCTAGTTCAGTTCTAGTTCAGTTCTAGTTCAGTTCTAGTTCAGTTCTAGTTCAGTTCTAGTTCAGTTCTAGTTCAGTTCTAGTTCAGTTCTAGTTCAGTTCTAGTTCAGTTCTAGTTCAGTTCTAGTTCAGTTCTAGTTCAGTTCTAGTTCAGTTCTAGTTCAGTTCTAGTTCAGTTCTAGTTCAGTTCTAGTTCAGTTCTAGTTCAGTTCTAGTTCAGTTCTAGTTCAGTTCTAGTTCAGTTCTAGTTCAGTTCTAGTTCAGTTCTAGTTTCAGTTCTAGTTCAGTTCTAGTTCAGTTCTAGTCTCAGTTCTAGTTCAGTTCTAGTTCAGTTCTAGTTCAGTTCTAGTTCAGTTCTAGTTCAGTTCTAGTTCAGTTCTTAGTTCAGTTCTAGTTCAGTTCTAGTTCAGTTCTAGTTCAGTTCTAGTTCAGTTCTAGTTCAGTTCTAGTTCAGTTCTAGTTCAGTTCTAGTTCAGTTCTAGTTCAGTTCTAGTTCAGTTCTAGTTCAGTTTTAGTTTCAGATCTAGTTCAGTTCCAGTTCTATTTAAATTCGACTTATTTGGACTTAAATCTCTGTAACATCTCTTAGCTGTAGGGTATACGTGTAATTGGCCATATTGAATATTTATATCAAATACTTAATATATTTTGCTTTATATCTGCTACGATATAAAAGTGTTACGATACTATAAAGCCCACACATTCTCAAACGATATTCGACTTTTGTTAATGATGATTTACTTGAGATGTAATAATGTAATAATAAATCTGAAATGATAACAGCCAACATTTGCACATCTCATACAAGATCTCATAACGTTCATCAAATACATATTTTTTAATTGCATTTTACAGTTCAAATTTCATTCAAATAAGTAACATACAAATATGAATGATAAGTTGTTTAAACACAAGTTCATTTGTTTAAATGCTTTCAATAACAAATCAATAAGACATCACAAAAGCTGTTAAATCAAATTTGAAATAAAATAAAAAATAAACATTTTTAACAAATTTCAAAAAATTTACTTTAGTAACATGCATTTTTTTGTTGTTTTGGAAAATGATTTTAGTTACAAATGATATTTAGTTGAGGGAAAACAAAATTAAAAACAAAAAACTATAATAACAAATATACATATGGGCAGCCAATAGTGAAATTTGTTTTAAAACTAAAAAACTAAAAATATTTGATTAAAAAGTGCCAATTTGTGTAAATGAAAAATTTGTTGTAATTATTTTCCTAAAAACTGAAGTATATTAGGGAAAAGTTTATTGATAAACATTTTAATAGAATAACTTTTAGTATTTTTGAATTTTGTTTTAAAGTTTAATATTCAAATGTTTCCAATGAATTCTCCCCTTATGATTTTACTCGTCAGTTTTAGAAAAATAATTAGTTTGCCAGAGTGATTTTTTTTTGATTACGTTGC